CAACTCTTGACTTGGTGACAATCCTTATCTTCTTGTCTGAACAAAATGTCATTGCTAACAATATAATTTGAACAAATTGTCTCATAAAAGTTTTAGAAAATTATCTCAACTGTCTAACAAAAAAAGAATTTATGCATTTGGACTTCTAGAACTTGAGATATGGCCTGAACACTAAATAGTATCTAGGTTACAAAATAGATTCAGACTTCTCTGTTGTTATTACAATTTAAACTTGAAAATAACCTTTTGGAATCTTGGACTCTTCATGAAAGTTTTAGGCCTATATCTTAGCTTTTCATCCATATATAGCAAACCTAAATCCAAGTTCTACTGCTCTAGTTATAATTCAAGAACCGAATGGTGTTCTAGTTTGAACTGAACTAGCATTTCTTTTCTAAGCTTAGCCCTCTCTTTGTCTTCTCAATTTCAGTAGTTAAACCCATCAATCAATCCCTTAATTTATGTGATATGCTTGCATTTAAGATGAATATTTACCATAAATTAAAGGTATCTTATATTATAAGATATGTTATCATAAAATATGTTGTAGTTAAAGAGTTATTGATACATTAAGTGCAAAATGATGATATAAAACCTTGATAAAAATACACTTTTAAATACTAATCACACCATCCAACTAGCTTATTACTGATCCCTAGTAATCAAAGTGTTAAAATAGAAAAATAATTTGCAAATTCACAAAGCAAGACATTCATCATTCAACTTCCATTAATCTATCCAGATAAACAAACTCATTAAAAATATATATCTGCTCAATACTTGTTAAATAAGATATTAATAAACCTTTTTTTTCCTCAATATATCAACACAGTTATCGGGCTTTTCTTGGAAGTTTGTGCTTAATGTATCAACACATAATTATGGGGCTTTTCTTGGAAGAAAACAAAATTTTTGTTCTAATGTTTAAGGTTAACTTCCTTGGTTGAGATTATTATCTTGTTCTTTTTTTTTTCTTTTCCTTTTTTTTAATATATATATAAATTTCAGCTAATGACTCCCAGACCAGTTGGTCTTAGGGCATTAGGTGTTAAGACACCCCTACGAGCTTAGTAACTCGAGTTGTAGATTTGATACATAGATAGTGCAGTGTTTAATTCCCTTAAGTTTTTTTCTTAACCCATGTAACAAGCGTTGAGCTAATAGCTTCAAAGTCAATTGACTTTAGGGTATTAGGTATTAAAACACCCCTTTGGACTTAATTGCTTAGGTTAGGGAGGCTACGAAACCAAACTTATCTATGTTTTTATTATCATTATTTTTTTTTTGTTTTTGTTCTTTTTTGTAATTTATATACTATCCTTTTCCCTTAATTGTTATCTTTAATAAAAATAAATAAATAATGTAATAATCCAATGTGCAACCCTCAATCATATATTAAAGTGTGCGCGCGCGCGAAAATAAAGGTTTAAGAATACTTGTTAAATAAGTATATGAGCACAATTAAGTGATAATAATGCGAGAGTTTGTAATCCTAAATATTTCAAGAAGTATTTTGATAGACCTTGTTATGAATATTGCAAATAACCATTAAAAAATATTTACCAAGATATG